CCACGTCGCACAGCGTTATCGTGTTCGGCTCTTCACGGATGTAGAACCATTTCTTGTACCAGTCATTGAGCGATGTGTTCCATGGGTAGTGCAGGTACTGGGCTTTCATGCCATCACGGAGGTTGAGATATACACCCCCGGCTATCTTCGAACCACCGCTTCCTTTCTTCCACAGACAGAAAAGATGGCGGAAAAAATCGAAATGAGGCTGGAAGCCGCCATATGCTTAGCAGAGATGTATAAAAGTGGCGACAAGGAGGATCGAGTTGGGATATAGATTGCAAATCCCAATCTCGTAGTAAAGACAGAGCCCTTGAAGAAACGGATGTACCGGAACCCCAAATCCCCGTTTAAAGAAATCCTCGAACACCACGATCTCACCTGGTTGTGGATCGGGGTACCCCTCGCCCTCCGGCGCACGCCATCCTATGAGCTCCTTGTTGTGGAGTACCCCCATGGTGATGAGGTCGTCAATGGTCTGCTCGTTGCTTTTCGATTTCCACCATTCCTTCACCATGACCCCTGCTTTCTTCTGCGCATCACTTTTCGCCATGACTCTGGCCTTGCTGGTGAACGGGGAAATGGCGGCGGATTGATTGGTGGCAATTTCGGATGTATTAGGGTTGGCGAGAGGAAGAAGAAAGCTACGGTTGCGAATGGCAATGGGGTTTAGTAAATAGTAACTTACCTATCCTATACTGTATTTAACCCAAGAGTTATGTTGTTTCGTCTGCCCGGGATTCTTGGGAGACATGCGCACGCGCCACAGACGGTTGTTTTCACAGCCTCGAGATCTACGCTAGTATATGCGCCTCTTCGTTGCCAGTGTGGGAGGACCCACGCTGATGTACCTACTGACAGGTGCCACGCAACTGTTTGCTTGACAAGACAAAAAGGCAGTATGACGTGCTATACCCATCTAATTTTTTGACCAGACGTGTCAGATTGGACTTGGCAGAACAAGTAAATAAATAAATACATAAAATTATAGTACAAGTGACATATGGTTTTTTGCCACACTTTTTGTGCTTGGGGATTGTCCCGACCACCCCCGTGCTCGGGGACTATCGCGACTATCCTTGTGCTCGGGGACTATCGCGACTATCCTTGTGCTCGGGGACTATCTAGACCACCATTGTGCTCAGGGATTGTCCAGACCACCATCGTGCTCGGGAACTGTCCAGACCACTCTCGCGCTCGGGAACTCTTTAGACCACTCTCGTGCACGGGGACTGCCTCGACCACTCTCTGGCCATTGCTCGAAGATCACTCTCCTCGGCTACATGTGATTTGTAATCACATACAGTTGAGAGGCATTTATTTTTTCTCACTTAGACCTTGCTACAAGGCTGATATCTCGCCTTCCAGCAAGCTCGGGGACTACATCGGTACGATGCACTTGCCGGTGCATCTCGTATCGCTTGTACGACGATTAGATTTTCAACTTAATTGGGAATTCTTTTTAGACCCTGGCACCACGTGCCTGCGTCACCTACTACCAGGCTCGGGGACTAAGTGGTCACACTTCACCTTGCGGTGAATGTGCTTGTTTTATCGACCCCTACGCTCTGACTGTTGTCCATAACTGCTACTGTACAAGGGTCACTTACATTTCTTTTTAGAAATACAAGTGGGCACACTTTATTAGGAAAGAAATCTTTTTCTTTTTTCTTTGGAGCACCATGCATTCTTCGGACAACCAGAATCTTCGGCTATAATCGTGGTCTACTGCTCTCTGTTCTGACCAGAATACTGGTACATTCGCTTGGTCAATGTTTCAACCAGTTGGAAATGACATGAAGACGGATCGCATTAGCCGAAGGAGATCGAACGGCGTGTCGCAGCATAATACATGGAGCTCGAGGACTAGCTGTGGGGGTATTAACCCCTATACACTTATGGCTAGGATTGGGCCGGCCCGAACCAGGAGGTCTGGTCCACTAGAAGACGACGCGTGGCCCGGCCAATCTGCTTGGAGTCCCGCGCAAGGAATCAAGGCAGACTTGGAGATCAAGCAAGATCCTGGTCGATTAGAATAGGAATCCTTATCCGGCCACCTATGGCAATTGTAACTGGTTAGGATTAGTTTCCAGATCTGTAACCCTGCCCCCCAGACTATATAAGGCGGGCAGGGGACCCCTCTCAAAACATCTCTCATTGACATACAGCAATACAATCAGACGCAGGACGTAGGTATTACGTCTTCACGGCGGCCGAACCTGGATAAAACCTCGGGTCTCTCCTGCGTCACCATCTTGTTTGTAGCTTGCGCATCTGTCTGCCGATAATCTACTACCTTGGGCATACCCCTAGGTAGACTGCCGACCATATTTCGTCGACAACAGTACTTCTTCACGAACCAGCAACGAAACGAACCAGCCAACCGAACATGCTGTAGGCATCTACCTTCCTCGTTGCCTAGGGAGCATCAAAAGCTTCGACCTCGTCATGGCCTTAAGGTGGAGGAAAAAGAAGACAACGGGGTGGGATTGATGATGGTGAGGTGGCTCCACACTAGATTGGAGCAATGAGAAAGGGGAGGGGGGCGAAAGGAGGGAACACGAAGACGATGAAGCATTAGAGGCTAGAATGTGGGCACTACCCTTGTATGGGATCCATTGGTCAAGACCTAAACCAAGGAGGACTCGATGTGGCAATGCTAGGAGAAGACACGGAGTGGATCGAGCCCGTTTATTTGGACCTAGATGATATCATGTCCTTGGTGACCTCCAGGCCATATTGTTCGGTGAGCTCCCTTCTCCCCCTACCCAACCCAACACACACACACCACACTCACGCCACACTAACTCGATATCGACCGCTCGTTCCCATGCCTCGCTGGCCTTTACCTGGCTCAACCACTGTCCACTGCCCCTCTTCCACCGTACCCATGGTAGGTGTCGTGCACCGCATCCCCATCCATCCAAGCGTTAGCCTTCTCGTTGACCACTCTATCGCTTCTCTAGGATATCTTCTAAGACGAGTTCATGCTTAATTCCCCAACATCCCGATCCCTAAATCTGACATGCCCTAAAACCATCACCTGCACAAAAATAAGGTTACATGTTTTTTCGCGAACCTAAAACATTTGGAGTTTGAACATTCTTTTTTTCTAGAACCAGAAAATTTTTCTGATGAATCTGTTAACGTTGCAATTATAATTTGGAGATGCTAGCGTCCGGACGGACACGCGTGTCCAGAAGCCCACGCTAGCTTGTGTCGCGCGTCTCTTCGTTTTCGCCTCCTTTGTTTCCCGTGCCCGCGTCGCGCGGACGCGTCGCCCTACCCGCGCTGCCCTCTCGCACATGGGAACCGCCCGCTTCCGCTCCGCTTTCCGTGCGCACACAGGGACCGCCTACGCCCTGCTCCATATCGCGCATGCGCGGACCACCTGCGCTTGCGCCTGCTTCACACGGGAACCGCATGCACAGCGCCCTAGCAGCTGCAGCAGGCGGTAGCGATAGGTGGTTCCCATTGCAACATATGCAACACCAAATCTACTTTTGCAACATCCAGATTAAACACTTGCAACATACGTCCGAGACAACTGAAACACTAGCAACATACGTCTGAAACATATGCAAACGCCCGAAAGCACTTGAAAGTCATTGCAAACATATGCATCATCCAGATAAAACACTTGCAACATATACGTGAAACATATTCAATGTCAAGATAAAACGCTTGCAACGTACGTTTGAGAAACATATGAAATATTTGGAATAGATGCTTGCAATGTATAGCCATTTCAACATATGCAACATCTCAATCTACTTTTGCAACATCCATGTGAAACACTTACAACATACATCTGAAACATCTGAAACAATTAAACATATGCTTGCAACATGCGCTTTCAGCACAACATCTCCTTGCTGCTTAACGCACGGAGGGAGCGCAGTTATGCGCGTGCCCCGGCCGTGCCAAGCCACCATGCATGTCGCTGTTGTCCAAGATCATCCACGAGCAGGCCAGCCATCACGAGCGACGCAAAGGACGTCTACGTGAGGAGAGGGCCGGAGGCGCATCAAGGCAGCCGGCACAGCATGGCGCCATAACAAATAGGAGGGTCGCGCGGCTGCGTACGCCTGTGGCAGAGGAGTTCATCTACTACACGCCACCGGCCGCAAGGCTGTACCATGGGGTGGCGGACGGAGGAAGCGGCTAGAGAGGCAGCCACATCAAGCAGCAGAACAAGGCGAGGACGATGCAAGGTCCAGGAGGAAGACGAGTGACCGCAGCGATGCCAGCCGGCGGGCGCCGTGGAAAACACCGAGGCGGCGCGATAGAGCACGGTCGCAGCGCTGCGGTGATTTTTTGAGAAACTACGTGACTGGATAGGCTTATAGAGAAGCGAGTGGACGAACGGATATGATAGGATAGGAGGGGGTCGTTGGGCTAGCGTCATGATAGGATAGGATGGACGGACGCCCTACACGAAGTATTACCGAATTTAATTTGGATGCTCACTTTGAATATTTTTATGGCTTTCTTAAATCTCAAATAATTAATACGTATTGTATGATCGTCCTACGAGCATACTTTTTTTTAGAATCCCTCTACGAGCCTACATGATCGTCTGATCACAAAGCAGAAGAATATGAAGCCCAACTATACTACGGAGTAGTCTTGCGGCGAGCATTTTATTAAAAAAAAACAGTGCGGCATGCCGCAAACTCGTCGAGCATTGTAGGTCATTGATGCAAATTTTGCCCTCGAATTTGATTCTGTTACTTCAAAATCGGAAGCATACAGCCTGTTTGTTTGGCTGTGGCTTGTCGTAAACGATCGTAAATTTACAGTCAGAATAGTATTTTTCTATCACACAAACCAGCCAGCAGTACTTCTTCACGAACCAGCAACGATACGAACCAGCCAACCGAACAGTCTGATAAAACCGTACCGTGCTATACTTAGCAAATCCTCAGATAATAAAGAGGGCATTTAAGATAGGTAGGTCTACCGTCTACCCAAACCACAAATCCACACGACACTAGTAGATGGAGAAGAAGGCAGGGGATGCCGAGATCGTTGAGGAGGATCGGGGGAGGGCGGCGTCGAGCGCATCAACCTCGTCGAGGAAGAAGAGGTCAGCCGTCGATGGCGCGTCAGGCGCATGCCTGTGCGACAACGTCATCTGCTACATCCTCGCCTACCTGCCGGCCCGCACCGCGATCGGATGCATGGCGCTCTCGAAGCGCCACCGCGATCTGATCCGCAGCCCGGAGTTCCGGAGCCTCCACTGTCGCCTCGGCGCGCCGCTTCCCCGCCCGCACATCGCGTACATCGCGACCGCGTCGTTGCGGTACAAACAATACCGGGGCCGGGTCAGCGAGTTCCACGGCTTCCACGTCGCCGGCGCCGGCGCCGGGATCAGCAGCAGCAATGCTCCCATGCGTGCGATCTTCGGAGACAGCTACCTCGGCTACAGGTGCGTCAACACGTGCAACGGCGTTGTGCTCCTTGCCACCAACGACTACTCCCCCCTGGGCAGGTGCGTCCTCTGGAACCCGGCCGTCGCCGACGTCGTGCGGGAGTTCACCGTCCCTGCAGATACGTCCATGGAGGGCGGTAACGTTAACTATCTAGTGCTGGGGCTGGGTTACGGCCGCCGGAGTGAAACGTACAAGCTTCTTTTGTTCCACATGGACTACACGCATTGGAAGCACTCGCTGCAAGTGTACGCACTCGTCGGCGGGCAACCAAGATTAAGACCGGCCGTATCATCGCCGCCGGGGATAGACGGAGCAATCCAGAGCCACTCTACATGGATGGCACGGTCTACCTCCTCGACGTCGACAGGTCAGTGATCCTAGCTTTCGACGTCGACGACGAGACTGTCACAACCATTGGCCTGCCCGGCAAGCGCGATCGGGGCCATCCACGGCATGTAAGGTCCAGGCTCATGGAGATGCAGTTGCAGGGTCGCCTGTGCCTGGCGACGAACCGCCGCCAGTGGGAGTGTAGGCGCGTCATCGAGTTGCAGGGCAGCGTCTATTACCACGACTCCAATGGAGACACGTATGATTGCTCAATCGCCGGCGTTTGGGACTGCGGCGGTGTGCTCGCCGTGCACATCCTGGCCTCACCGTCGCCAACAACATGCTCTGCCTGTACCAGCTCGCTACTGGCCGGAAGGTGCTCGATGCAAAGCTGCCGTGTGACCTGGTGCCGGATGATTCGCACTATGCGTTATGCTGGGGCTACAAGCCAACGCTCGTGTCGCCGCAGAGCATCCTTGAGCTCAGCCAATACGAGGAGAGGCGCCGCAACAATGCAAATGCAAAAGATATAATGGAGGCCTGAAGCCTATCCGTGATAAAGACAGCAGGGAAGGCCCCAAGGCAATTCTAGACACCGTTTCCTTCATGGAGTTCTTGGTATCCATCATGCGAAAGCTGCCCGATGTTTCTGAGAATGATTCAGAAGATTCCGAGGACGATGATATGCGTGGTGTTGTCAAAATTCGAATAGTTTCAGGTTCAGATTCAGATTAGTAGTTCAATGGCAAGTCAGCCACCACACACTATCCCTTCAATCTGTTTGAATATTCGAGTTTCGTTTGCAGCTCCTTGTAAATTTGCCTCAGATGTGGGCTATGAATTGTTTGTTCTGGATTTGGAAACAGAGTTTCTTTCTGCAATTTCTCCTATCTGATTTTGAAACCCATTGAGACTTCTGTTTCCTAATTGTATTGCACCAACAATATATTGTCAAGTATTCTTTTCTAATGATGTAGGGTGTATTAGAATTTAAGAAAAGTCATACTTTCTCAAATTATATACACATTAGTACTTGAAGTTGTACCTAGACTTGCTCAATATAATTTACAAGGATCATGGATCATTGTTGGAACTCTACTCCCGCACACTTTGCTGGTCATCGAAACCCAACCCGGCCCCCGCGTCGCTCCGCCTGAGAGACACGGGCGGCGCCGCCGCCTCCACCAACCCCTCCTCCCTCCCTCCCCGTGACTCCTTGCCGCCGCGGAGCGTGCTGCTAGAGGCCGCGCAGCCGCGATGATGGTGGCGGCGGGGCCTTCCTCCATCCTCCAACTTTTCTCTCCTTCTCTCCTCCCGGTGCCCGGTGATGGTGGTGGCTGCTCCGGCGGCGGTGGTGGCTGCTCCAGCGGCCGGCTCACGGATCCGCGGCCCCGGCGGCCGGATCCGGCTGAGGGTAGATCGACCTCAGCGCCTGACTGCTGTGCGTGGAGCTGTGCGGCGGCGCGGAACCGGCGCCCCACGCCATGAATCTACGGCCGGCGCCGCGGTGGCGTTGGTGCTCGCCGGCGTTGCGGGCTCCAGCACGGCGTGGAGTGGGCGGGGCGCGGTGGCGGCGCGGCAGAGACGCGATGCTGGGGCCCGCGGCCAGATCCGGCGAAGGTGGGGAGCGTCGGGGCTCCTGCCCGAGCCTGGGGCGGCGGCGGCCAGCCGGGCCGGCTCGTGCACGTCTGCAGGGATCAGGCGGCGGCCGGTGGCCGGCCAGGGGCCCGTGCCCGCGCTGCTGTGCAACTGCGCGGTGCTGGCTCTCGGCGAGGGCGGCGGCAGCGACCGTGGTTGGAAGGATGGGCGGGTGGTTCTGCTGCTGCTCAGGCGGCAGCGGCCCGGGCGCCCGGCCCAGAGGCGGAGGTGGTGCAGTTCTGCGAGGGGCTGCTCCGCAAAGGTGCCTCATTCCATCCTTGAGCATCCCGTGGTGGGCGGCGTCAGTCATGGTGACAACGGTTATCGACCGGCGCTGCAACATCTTTGCTGCAGCAGCGGCAACTGACCTGCGGCGGCTCAACGCGGCTATGGCCACGGCGACTGGTCTCGCTTTGCGACGTTCAGTTTCGGCGGGGTTGCGGTGGCTCCTATGTTTGGTGAGGTACAATGGTGTCAGCACGTTCGGTTGCTGATTTCAGCCAGCCCAAATCAGTCAGCCAACGGTGTTTTTCTCTTACAACGAACCAGCTTAAATCAGCCTAGAAACCAACCAGTAAACAGGCTGATTGCATAACTGCTGCAATCGGTGGAGTACAGTGGAAGGGTTTGGTTGCGACGCTTGGCACAAGTGGATAGGGGCGCGGCATGCTTCCCTCCGAAGCGATCTTTAGTGGGATGGTGTCTATTAGTTGGCAGCGGTCTGTTGACCGGCGCGGTTGTGACCGGCCATGCTTGCCAGTGGCCGGCTCGCCGTCTTTGCGACAACTAGTAGATGGCGGCTCGTTGAAGACTGAAGGTTGCGGCTCTTGTGGGGATGCTCGTTGTTTCTCTACTTGCTTGTGGCGCGTCTTTTTGCATTGGTGTTGGCGGCGCTCTTGGCATCTGCAGGAACAAGATGTGGGTTTCCACGGTGGGCGGTGTCATGTAGGATGGAGGCGGCTCTTGTTGGTTGGCATGACGGCAACAGGTCACGCATGCCGATGACCTTGTCGGTGTCGCAGCGATCTCCTACTGGCAGCGGTTGGTTGTGGTCGTCCACGATGTGGCTGATTTGAGTTTGGGTGCCGGGGTTGTCGGGCGAAGGCCCTGCTAGGCCCTTGGCTTTGGCCGACAATGGTGACACCTTTGGCGGCACGTCCCTCGTTGGAGGCATTGTCGTGAGGCCTCGATTATCCTCTAGGAGTAAGGTTGAAAAACCTTGGTTCCCCATTCGGCGTTGACGGCATCTTTGGATGTCGTTCTCCTCCTTGGAGGCATCGCCAAGGAAATCTACTCCCTCTTCTAGTTTACATCGCTTGTCCCGTGCGGCGTGCAATGTGACGTTCGACGGCTGCTGCTTCTGAGGATTGTTGGATTCGTATTTCTTGCGGCGGTAGTTTGTGCTGTTGCCTCCTTGGTGAGGTTGTTTTTTTTTGTTTTTTTGTTTTCTTCTGTACAATGCTTCTTCTCTATTAATATATGCCCGGCATATTCTTGTCGGTGGCTCTTCGAAAAAAAAATGGATCATTGTTGGGTGTAACTCTCTCTCTCTCTCTGAATGAAACATGTGCTCAAGCATGTTCGTGAAAAAAAACTGAACCAATAAGAACCATAATTTTTTTGTCTCAGAGACACTGTTATGTTTGATTTAGGTGGTTGTGTTATAATGCAAATTTATGGACTCTCCTGTCGTTTCAAATTATAGGCAATTTTTGCTTTATTCTAATCTAAGTCAAATCCTTCTAATTTTCACTAAAGTTATAAGAAAAATGCATTGACATGTACAACATGAAATTAATTTCATTAAATTTCGTTTAAACATAGTAGACATTAACATGTTCTCAAAATATTTGGTCAAAGTTGGAAAAATCTAAATTAGAATAAAGGTAAAGTGACATATGAGGTGGTGAGTGTGATTCTTTGGTCTATTTGGTTGGTAAACATGTGGTTTAACAAAAAAAGATTATATTCTTATCCGCAGGTTGTTTTTTAAAACCATATATTGAAGAATAAAAGGGGGGCGATAGCCAATTTTGAAGAAGGCACGTTGTATGCTGGAGATAGCGGCAATGATAATCTTCACGAAGCATGGTTGTTTCTCGTCTAACAAAAGGAATACTATTTATTGTTTAAGTTGCCACTTTCCTTGCTTCTTTTTATGCCTTTTCAAATTTTGGTTGAATGAGTATCACGTCAGATTCTTAACAACGAATGGTTTATACAGATATCATCAGAATAAAAAAAAATCTAGAAAGTACATTATAATACATCTGAAATTGCAGAATATGGCATACTTTCCAGATTTTTAAGAAAGTTATGCATTACATGAAGCTACTATAGGGACACACAATAATGCTCGTCACTTTCCCCACCTTTGTGTCCAGGAGAAAAAAAAAATCACAAACCCCTAATGTCTTGATATCGGGTGTTTTGGACACGAAACTACACCGGTAGAGACAACCTCACACCCCTTGGGTCGTACTCCCGTTACAAGGGAATTCACATACAAAAGTGCATGGGAAATTCTATAAAAAAAAATTATGAATGGATATAGATGATGCAATCATCGATGTTCATGCAAACTTTGAGCTTGAATAAAATTTCGTGCTGTGAGGAAAAAAAAAAGATAAAATCAGTTAGTGAATTGGCGTTGGGTTGTGGATCCATACGAGTAGTACACGGTATACCCTACCTAATAGCATGCTGAATTTCTTTTTGTTGTTTGTCCATGTACAAATGTTGTTCAACCTCAAATTCTACAGGAAAGTATATTATTGCGGTAGTGCTAGCGCCCGACGTCCGAAGGACGCCCGCGCCCGCGCTGCACTCCACGTCCGTGCTCGCGCTAGCATGCCTCCGTCCCGCACCCCCGCCTGTGTGTCGCGCGCCCACGCGGAGCCCGCGCCGCCAGACTGCGCGCGGAGACGGCTCGCGGCACCTCCCGCTTTCCACACGCATCCCATGTGCAATACCCGATCTACTTTTGAAATATATAGATGCAACACTTGCAACCTAAACATAGATAAAACACTTGAAACATGCTTCTGAAAAAATTAGAAAAAGCACCTGAAAAACGTTTGAAAACCATTACAAACATACAAACATCAAGATAAAACACTTGCAACATATGTATGAAACATATGCAACATCTAGACGAACACACTTTACAACATACGTATGAAAACACAGATGAGACATTGGAACATACGCTTGCAACGTACGTGTACAACCATTGAAACATATGTAACATCCTGATCTATTTTTCCAACATCCATCTAAAACACTTGCAATACTTCTAAAACATCTAAAACATTTAAAACATACGCTTGCAACATGTGTTTTTTAACCTTCTTCCGCACGATGCAGAGCAGAGCGGGGAATGGCCGGTTCTAGCCAGCCGACAGCTAAGGATGATGACGAGGCCCGGCAGTGGCCAGCTGCGCTTGCGCCTGGTCTAGGCCCGGTCAGCGACGACCCTCTCTCCTTGTCGCCTGGCCATACACAGCGTCCGGGCGCCTGTGCGGCTGCTTCTGGGTGGGCCCGATGAAGGGTCGAGATGGCGGATTATAGGGGGGATGAACAGTCATTTCTAAATTTAATCGCGCTGGCTAATCAAAATAAATATGGAATTAAAACAATCGGTCTAGCCAAGACTACACCCCTCTATCGAAGTTCACAAGCACCTTATAAAGATCCTAATTAGGCAACAAAGGTGCTGGGCTAGCTAGAGCTCACATATCCAATTCTAGGAGTAAGGTCACACAAACCTATGCCACTAATATTTTGCACACCGGGGAGCTCCTATACAATTCTAGTAAGCAAAAGCACAAAGCTCCTAAGCTCACTAGCAATGCTCAATAACCAGGCAACCAATGTCAAATTAGAGAGCACAAAAACTTAGCTACACAAACTAAGCAATGTGACTAACAAGGTTACACAAACCAAATTAGCCACGCAAGGGAGCTACTTCAATGCTACACAAGCAAGAAGGTAACTAGTGAGCTACACAAGCTAACTAATTACAAGAGCAACTACACAAGCACAATGTATATGAAAGTAATTACAAACTTGTGTAAGGGGATTGTAAACCAACGGGA